TGAGATTTATTAAAGGTTTTCATTCAGTGAGTTATATTTCCAGTGAGTTTTTCATTCAGCAAAGTTTTTACTCAGTGAGTCTTTCATTTAGTGAAGTTTGTAATCAGTGAGGTGTATATACTTAGTGGTGTTTCTATTCACTGTTTGCATTGTATTCAGTGAGATTTATATTCAGTGTGTATTGTATTTAGTGAGAATTTTGTTCAGTTAAGGTTTCGTTCTATGAATTTTATCGTGTTTGTTTTTACATTACATAGCCGGTACCTCCTCGCTAGTTAGCCCAAGTTATATTATACATATTACCAGATTCTCTTCATTCTACGCATAATACTGTCATTACACTGAAGGTGTTGTGTGTATGTAGTAGGGATCGTTAGCCTGTTCTTCCACCGTGAGTGTGTCTTGGAACTCAGAGACCAGAATTCATTCCCACCACATTACTTCAATATTTTATAATACGCCATGTCTACTCATTCTCACCATTCACGCAATCACACGTGCGTGCGCGCGAAAACACACACACACACACACACACACACACACACACACACACAGTAGTGTGTGGTAGAGCTAGGAATTATCTCCCCCAAAAAAGAACTAGGAAACAAAAGGCTGGCATACCGAAAGGGAAATTATGAGGAGATGAGAAGCTTCCTAAGGGAAATACCTTGGGACACAGACCTCAGAGCTAAGTCTGTACGTGATATGATTGACTATATCACCCAAAAGTGTCAGGAGGCAGTAAGCAGATACATCCCGGCCCAAAGGGAAAAATCCGAGAAGCAAAAGGAGAATCCATGGTTTAACAAGGCATGTATAGAAGCAAAGGTACTGAACAAAAGGGCGCGGAGTAACTTCCGAATTAACAGAACACCAGAAAGCAGAGAGAGATACCAGAGAACCAGGAATGAGTTGAGCCCACGCACACCCCAGATTCCCTAGGTTCCCCTTCACAGGCCCTCCCATCCCGGTCCCTTCCTGTTTCCCTGCTTCAGGGGAAGCAATAGGATCTGAGAAAGGACAGAAGAGAGTCAGTTTCAGGGTTATGTACTTGAACATAGATGGGATCACAAGCAAGGCAAGTGAACTAAGGGAAAGAGTACAAGAAGTGAACCCAGTTGTAATCGGACTCACAGAAATAAAATTCTCAGGAATAATAATGAATGTGGTGTTTCCCCAGGACTACACTGTAATAAGGAAAGAGAGGGAAGGAAGGGGAGGAGGTGGAGTGGCCTTACTAATGAAAAAGGAATGGAGTTTTAGTGAATGAACGGAAAGGACCAAAAGTAGTAGTAGCAGTGATATATAACCCTCCACCAAATGAGAGAAGACCAAGTCAAGAGTATGACAACAACAACAACATGGCAATTAACACTATAATTGAGAGGGCAGCCTCTGCTGCCAGTAGAAATAGATCTCATCTGCTCATCATGAGGGACTTCAATCACAGAAGCATAGACTGGGAGAACAAGGAAACACATGGAGGAGAGGATGCATGGAGACTCAAACTAATGGTGGTGGCGACAAGAAACTTTCTAAGCCAGTATGTCAGGGAACCCACTAGGATGAGAGGAAACGATGAATTAGCAAGACTCGACCTAGTCTTCACTCTGAACGACTCCAACATAAGGGAAATCGGTTTCAAAGCCCCAGTAGGAATGAGCGACCACAGTGCACTGGTGTTTGAGTATCTGGTTGAAGAAGGGTTATTGAACTCGAGGAGGGGTACTGAAAACAAAAGGCTCGCATTCCAAAAGGGAAACTATGAGGAGATAAGAAAATTCCTAACAGATAAAATATGGGAAACAGATCTCAGGGGAAAGATGGCCCAAGACATGATAGACTACATCACGCAGAAGTGCAAGAAAGCAACAAACAAGTTTGTCCCAGTCCAAAAGGAAAACAATGAAATGAAGATGAGAAACCCATGGTTTATTCAGAGATGTATGCTAGCTAAGCAGCAAAGTAAAAGGGCATGGAGAAATTATAGGAATAACATTACAATTGAGAGCAGAGAAAGATACCAGAGTGCCAAGAATGAATATGTCAGGATGAGAAGAGAAGCAGAAAGACAATACGAAAATGACATCGCAAGCAAGGCAAAGACTCAACCTAAATTGGTGCACAGCCACATCAGGAGAAAAACAACATTAAAAGAACAGGTAATGAAATTAAGGTTAGGGGCACAAGGATTCACAACAAACGAAATGGAAGTGTGTGAGGAACTGAATAAGAAATTCCAGGAGGTCTTCATCTTAGAGCAAGGAGAAATTCCAAAGATAAGAGAGGGAATAGTTAACCAGGAACCACTAGAAGAGTTTGAGATTACCAGTGGGGAAGTAAGGAAGCTTTTACTAGAGTTATAGCCTTCCTGGTTTGGTGCCTTCTTTTGATAATTACATTCTTACTTTTACTAGAGTTGGATGTGACAAAGGCTATAGGCCCAGATGGGATCTCCCCTTGGATACTAAAGGAAAGAGCAGAAGCACTGTGCCTGCCACTCTCCATAGTGTATGACAAATCACCGGCAACAGGGGAACTGCCAGAAATTTGGAAAGCAGCTCATATGGTCCCGATATACAAGAAAGGGGATAGACAGGAGGCACTGAACTACAGGCCAGTGTCCCTAACCTGCATACCATGCAAGCTGATAGAGAAGATTGTGCGAAGAAAGCTAGTGGAACATCTGGAGTGAATGAACTTTGTAACACAGCATCAACATGGGTTCAGAGATGGCAAGTCCTGCCTCACATGGTTAATTGAATTCTACGACCAGGCAACAAAAATCAGGCAAGAAAGAGAGGACCATTCATTCAGAGACTGAATGAATGGTTCAACACATGGATGCTAAATTTCAACCCGAGTAAATGCAAAGTAATGAAACTAGGCGATGGAAATAGGAGGCCAGACACAGATACAGAATAGGAGATGAAGTACTTCATGAAACAGATAGAGAGAAAGATCTAGGAGTTGATATCACACCAAACCCGTCTCCTGAAGCCCACATAAAAAGAATTACGCCAGCGGCATATGCGAGGCTGGCTAACATCAGAACAGCCTTCAGGAACCTGTGTAAGGAATCATTCAGAGCCTTGTATACCACATATGTAAGATCAATCCTAGAGTATGCGGCCCCAGCATGGAGCCCGTACCTTGTCAAGCACAAGATGAAGCTGGAAAAAGTTCAGAGGTATGCCACTAGACTAGTCCCAGAACTAAAAGGCATGAGTTACGAGGAAAGGCTGCGGGAATGGCACCTTACGACACTGGAAGACAGAACAGTAAGAGGAGACATGATCACTACCTACAAAATCCTCAGGGAAATTGACAGGGTAGACAAGGATAAACTATTCAACACTGGTGGTACGCGAACAAGGGGACACAGGTGGAAACTGAGTACCCAAATGAGCCACAGGAACGTTAGAAATTTTTGTTCAGTGTCAGGGTAGTTAACAGGTGGAATACATTAGGCAGAGATGTGGTGGAGGCTGACTCCATACACAGTTTTAAATGTAGATACGATAGATCCCAGTAGGCTCAGGAATCTGTACACCAGTTGATTGACGGTTGAGAGGCGGGACCAAAAGAGCCAAATCTCAACCCCCGCAAGCACAAATTTGTGTACTCACAAAAATGTGTTAGTACACACACACAGATTTTTCTAGATTGCCAAAAGGCCTTTGACACAGTACCACACAGGCTATGGGTAACGAACTACCTAACAGGAAGGAGCCAGAGAGTAATGGTAAGGGGCGAGAAGCAGGACTGGCGAACTATAACGAGTGGAGTACCTCAAGGATCGGTGCTGGGATCAATTGAATTTCTAGTTTACGTAAATAACATGCTTTCAGGAGTTGAATCCTACATGTCGATGTTCGCGGATGATGCAAATTTAATGAGAAGAGTTGTGTCAAATGAGGATTGTAGGATCCTCCAAGAGGACCTGAACAGGTTGCAGAGATGGTCAGAGAAATGGCAACTGGAGTTCAACACAAACAAATGTAAAGTTATGGAAATGGGATAAGGTGATAAGAGACCAAAGGCACTGAACTACAGGCCAGTTTCCCTAACTTGTATACCATGCAAGGTGATGGAGAAAATCGTGAGGAAAAGGCTCGTAGAGCATCTGGAGGGAAATAACTTTGTAACGCACCACCACCAACATGGGTTCAGGGATGGTAAATCGTGCCTCACAGGTTTAATAGAATTCTATGACCAGGCAACAAATATTAGACAGGAAAGAGAAGGGTGGGCCGATTGCATTTTCCTGGACTGCCAGAAAGCCTTTGACACAGTACCCCATAAAAGGCTGTTAAAAAAATTGGAGCAAGAGGCAGGAGTAAAAGGGAAGGTGCTCCAGTGGATAAGGGAGTAGTTATGCAACAGGAATCAGCTAGTAACGGTGAGGGGGGAGACATCAGAGTGGCGAGATGTCACCAGCGGTGTTCCACAGGGCTCAGTACTTGGACCCATCCTGTTTCTAATATATGTAAACGATCTTCCGGTGGGTATAGACTCGTTCCTATCAATGTTTGCTGATGATGCAAAAAATATGAAAAGAATCAAGACGGATGAAGATAGAGGCTACAGGATGACCTGGACAAACCGGAGGAATGGTCTAGAAAATGGCTGCTAAAGTTCAACTCAGGAAAGTGTAAGGTAATGAAATTAGGCGAAAGGAGCAGGAGGCTGAACACAAGGTATCATCTGAGAGGTGAAATCCTGCAAGAGTCAAATAGAAAGAAAGATCTGATAGAGCCCAGTAGGCTCAGGAATCTGTAATCTAGTTGATTAACTGTTGAGAGGCGGGACCAGAGAGCCAGAGCTCAACCCCCACAAGCACAACAAAGTGAGTACACACACTCACACACACACACACACACATGTGGGAAGACGGGACACCACGAGCGTAGTTCTCATCCTGTAACTACATTTAGGTAATTACACTTAGGTAATTACACAGTGCAGCACAATGCTTCACACACCTTGTACCTTTACAGATGGTGAGAGCGGGTAAGCTGAACCTGCCGAAGAAACCACCAGAGGGGATGAACATGAGTGAGTTGTTAGTGATGATTGTGGCGCAGAATACTAACCCACGATTATTGTTAGTGATGTTTGTGGTGCAGGATACTAACCCACGATTGTTGTTAGTGATGTTTGTGGTGCAGGATACTAACCCACGATTGTTGTTAGTGAAAGGTGTTTGTGGTGCAGGATAACTAACCGTTACATAATTCGTTGCCCATCTTAACACAACCTTCCTGCCCCCAGCAACATGGGGCCCTCCCCCATGACCACCATAACACAACCTTCCTGCCCCAGCAACATGGGGCCCTCCAGCATGACCACCATAACACAACCTTCCTGCCCCCAGCAACATGGGGCCCTCCACCATGACCACCATAACACAACCTTCCTGCCCCCAGCAACATGGGGCCGTCCACCATGACTACCATAACACAACCTTCCTGTCCCCCAGCAACATGGGGCCCTCCACCATGACCACCATAACACAACCATCCTGCCCCCAGCAACATGGGCCCTCCACCATGACCACCATAACACAACCTTCCTGCCCCCAGCAACATGGGCCCTCCACCATGACCACCATAACACAACCTTCCTGCCCCCAGCAACATGGGCCCTCCACCATGACCACCATAACACAACCTTCCTGCCCCCCAGCAAAATGGGGCCCTCCACCATGACCACCATAACACAACCTTCCTGCCCCCCAGCAACATGGGCCCTCCCCCATGACCACCATAACACAACCTTCCTGCCCCCCAGCAACATGGGCCCTCCACCATGACCACCATAACACAACCTTCCTGTCCCCCAGCAACATGGGGCCCTCCTCCATGACCACCATAACACAACATTCCCGCCCCCCAGCAACATGGGACCCTCCCCCATGACCACCATAACACAACCTTCCTGCCCCCAGCAACATGGGCCCCTCCACCATGACCACCATAACTTAACCTTCCTGCCCCTCAGCAACATGGGACCCTCCCCGATGACCACCATAACACAACCTTCCTGCCTCCAGCCAGTGGGATTGTGGCAGTGCTCACGACGGCCGTCAACACCTCGCTGAAGAACCAGAAGCGGGACTGTCCGATGTTGTACACCCGGGTCGGCCAGCTCTGCCTGGCCCTCTTCTCCCCGGCTAAGGTCAGTCAAAGGTCACTTATCGTTAGTGTTTAGGGTTGGAGATGACCCGCTCTCAGCCTTTTTAATTATAATTAATAACTTAAGCAACATATTTAACCTAATGGAGTTTACATAGCTATTTTGCTTCGCTGTATTAAAATATTTTATATTATAAATTAGAGCATAAACTATCTAATGATATTCACAATTCTGTGAAGATTCAGAACGCATGCATTGTCCACTCCCCTCCCTCTACCACCACCGCAAGTGTTCCCTGTCATTACTGTCCACTGCCCCCCCCCCTTCACAACCACCAGCAAAGATGTTCAGTTCAGTAATATCTTTTCCCCCCATTACCTTCGCCGATGTATAGGCTAGTAATGTCCTCTTACTCAGCACCACAATAGGTGTGGATATCGTTAGTGTTCACTCCTTTATCACCACGACAGGTGCGATTGGTTACTAGTGTCGAATCCCTCATCACCACCACAGGTGTCCTGGTTACTAGTGTCCACTTCCTCACCACCACCACAGGTGTCCATGTCAATGGTGTCCTCTCCATCACAGGTGCCGTGGCCAGAAGCGAGACAGTTCTGCCGGTCCATCTATGGGGACTTGGTGAAGTTTGATAGCTTTTCAGATTTCGGACATCTTGTGCTGTACATGAGGAACTCTATTGAGTGTTGTCTCTAGTTACGTTTTGTCATTACAAAATTATTCTTAACTAGTTCACAGCTCGTATAAGTTCTCCTGAAGATTTACGTTCAAATTCAATGTTGAAAAACATGTCATGCATGTAGAATAGTGAATGATAATTTTATTAATTTTTTTTACAAAACTGTACTGAATATGAGAAGTATTAAGTAAATGGTATTTAATTGTACAGAGCAAACTTATTATTTGATAAATGGTGGAGGTAGTTAGGCACTGCTCCTTCATCCCATCCCATCTCCTTGTTCCCATATTCTTTCCCAGTTATATAGTTAAAAGAATAGACTACTGCAGATGGCCTGTTTGTCCATTCAAGGCGCCTAAACACATATACATTCTCTGGGTGAGGTGGATGAGGTGAAAACAAACTTTCAACAATGGGTATTGAATGGGTATTAAATTCAAACACAAGACAGAACACGAAACAATGGGTATTGAATGGAAGTAATTGTAGAAAGCCTATTGGTCCATATTTCTTGATGCTTCTATGTACTTCACCCAAATGTAGATATAAACTCGAAGATGTGCAAGCTCTATTCAGTTTCAGTTGTGTGTTTGTAAACTAAAGTCTTTGAAAATGTAATAAGTTTTACGAAACGCGCTCAAGTGTCGCGTCAGACTAGAAATTAAAATGAATTTTGGAGAATTGATCTTTGAATTACCATCAACAGTGAAAAGAAACGTAAAAAAGATAGAGAAAATTCGTGTTAGAATTATTAATCTTACTTTTTCGGTCATATTTAATAATATATGTCTACAGGAAAGACTGCTACCAAAATATACTAATATTAAAACGCGCGACCCAGCAGCAAGGAATCAAGCCTTCACGATAAAATATCGCCAAGATCTGATTCGTGATCAGATATACAAGGCAGAAAATGAAATCAAAGACAACAAAGCGCAACTACTTCATGCTACAAACGAATGGAGAAACAGCAACATCGACGAAAGTCTCCGTACTCGCATTGAACAACACCTCGACATCCTCACAGACCGACATCACCTCAGCACTGAAACAAAGATAATCAAGAAACTAACAACGTTATATGGAGGACCTATGGTGTTACGAACCCGGATTCAGCGTCCGAGCCTGGAGCAGTGACAAACACGCCATCTGTGGGTCAGCTCCCGAAACCCCCGCCAAACGAACGACGACACCTAGTGAGGACAGCGTGTACTGGCCTCGAGGACCAGTTTCCAGTCTGGTTCAGCACTCAACACCGCCGCTCCTGACCTCTGGTGAGGTGGTGCTCCGACGGCAGCGCCATCTATGGACTGGATATGTCGGGCGTTTGTATCTGAGCCTGTGAGTGTGGTGTATTAGTGTCCCGGTTATTAATGACGTGTCTGCTTACAGAGCCGACCTGGGACCACTGTGTTGAAGGTGGAGTCAGTCTACCCGAGGCAGCCAGTCTCCATACAGTGAAGTTTGCTGTAGCTGTCGTGACGTCGTCCCCCCGGAAGAACACTGTGGTGTGTTAAGCCTGCCAGTGGAGTGGCAGTGGAAGGATTTACCCGGGACCGACGGTTGGAGACGATAATCCACTGGGGTATTGAGGACAGGAGGGTGATTGGTGATATCACACGAGACTCCTGTCTAGGGCGTACCCCTTTTATCGTTCGTGGAGTGGCCGTACCAGCCTTGGTGGCTCAGTACCTGCCAGCAGACCTGCTGGACGTGTGGTTGACGGCCTCCACGACGGTGCCCCCAGTGGACCTGTGTTGTGGCTGACCTGTGGCCAGGGTAGACTCGGCGTTCTCAGAGGACACGTCTTGAGGCCACGAAGAAAGCACCGCGGACTCAGCACCTAGCTTCAAGGATCCATAGTCTCCAGCAGAAGACTACAGTGTTGATCCCCTTTGTAAAGTGTTAATACCCCTCCCCCTTGTGTACGTTTTATTTCTATATATTCAAATGGTGATGGTGAAAATTATATTATATTAAGTTCTTACCTTTCTTTCCCTACTCCCTTTAAGTTACTTGCGTCACGGATCGTATCCCTTGATAGCCTCTACTGGCTTGGGGCCGGATATATATCTTCCTCTAACTACATCAGAGTAAGAACCCTGTTGCGTCCCGAGAGGGCCGTAACATAATTGGCATCCCCAGCGGGATCCGTCCCCTTGTTAAGTATGTTTGACAGGGGTGGTGAAGTGGCGTAATCCCTGTATATAATTCCCCCTGTGTGACGATTGTGACGTTATACGTCCTGTGCGGTGCTCAGTGACTAAGCGCGATATTGTGCAGTGCGGTGCTCGCTGTGATTAAGCGATTAAGTGCAATATTGACTAGTGCGGTGCTCAGTGATTTAGTGCAATATTGTAGAGCGAAGTGTTCGCTTGGACTCAGTGCAATATTGGGTAGTGCGGTGCCCGAAGTGATTACGTGCAATATTGGCAAGTGCAGTGTTTGGTGCGATAAAGTGCAATATTGACGTAGAACAGTGCTCGGTGCGTTAAGTGCTAACGTGTAAACGGTGTGTTAAGTGCTCGTTAAGTGTTCCATCTGTGACAATGGCAGACAAAGCTACCATCGATGATCTGGACGAGGTTCAGGCTTTTCTGAACAGAGAAGATTGTCTTGCCAGATTAAAATATCTGAGTAAACCAGAGCTTGTACTAGTGAGCGCCTACCTGGAGATCAAGATCCGTGCCAGTGATTCCCGTGTGGAGATCTTGTCCAAGGTACACCGGCACCTGAAGGCAGAAGAGAAACAGGAAGGCGAGACTCCTAGTACAAAGGAAAGTGCAGACATAGCTTCCACGGAAAAGGAAGATAAGGGCAGTGACGTTGACAGTGATGCAGGTGAGCTTAATATCAGCTTCCTAACAGTCAAGATGCGTGCCCTGGAAATTAATCGGGAAATTGAATGGAAGAAGTTAGAAATGGAACGAGAATTAAAAGATAAAGAAATGGAGATGAAAGAAAAAGAATTGGCGATGAGGCGTTTAGAATTAGAAAGAGAAGAGAAACGAGAGAGACAAGATAAAGAATTAGAGATGAGACGTTTAGAATTAGAAGAAAGGAAAGCAGAGAGAGAAAGAGAAGAGGAACGAGAGAAAGAAGAGCGAGAAAGAGAAGAGAAACGAGAACGAGAAGAACGAGACAGAGAAAGAGAAGAGCGAGAAAGAGAAGAGAAACGAGAAAGAGAAGAGCGAGAAAGAGAAGACAGACGAGAGAGGGAAGAACGAGAAAGAGAGAGAGAAGAACGAGACAGGCAAGAACGACAGGACAAAGAGGAAAGAGAGAGACAACATGAACTAGAAGTTTTGCGATTAGGTGGTGGTCGGAGGCAAACAACGGACACCAGTAGCTTCGATCCGGTACGCAACATCAAAATGGTCCCCAAATTCCATGAGAAGGAAGTGTCAAAATTCTTTGCAGCCTTCGAGAAAGTCGCTGCCTCTTTGGAGTGGCCAAGGGAGAATTGGGCAATCATGATACAGTCAGTCTTGACTGGGAAGGCCCAAATCGCCTACTCTACGTTGTCCCTTGACGACTCCAGCGACTACGACAAGGTGAAGAAAGTGGTGCTCATGGCGTACCAATTGGTACCTGAGGCATATAGGCAAAAGTTCAGAAACCTGAAGAAGACCTCAGAGCACACTTTCACAGAGTTCGCCACGATCAAGGAGCGACTTTTTCAAGAATGGTGTGCCTCTCGGAAGGTGGAGACCAAGGAAGACCTCGAACAGCTGATTCTGCTCGAAGACTTCAAGGATTGTTTGTCTGGAGACCTCAAGACATACTTAGAAGAGCAGCAGGTGGAGACCTTGAGTGCAGCAGCCACCATGGCTGAAGAGTATATCCTGACTCATAGGCCGTCTGCTAAGTATGTCCCGAGGAATTACCAGCGCCGGTTTGACAGACCTCTCGACGAAGAAGAAAGACCCGTCCCACAAAGTGCTAAGAAGACGCCCCCAAGTAGCCCCCGAAGAAAAAGTCCTAGCAGTCCGACGCACCGGAGCCCGAGGAGGAATATGGTGTGCTGGACTTGTGGGCAGAAAGGGCACATAGCTGCTAGGTGCCGAGGTAGAAGAGGTGGCAGCGCACGAAGGGAGGTGATGTTGGTGAGCTGTGTTACATCACCAGTAGGAAACCAGTCTACGACGACGCAGGAAGGACCAAGTTTGTTGGCCCCTCACACTTCAACCGGGTATGTAACGAGTGATCATACTGGAAGATCAGTTGTAGTGCTCAGAGATAGTGGAGCAGCCCAGTCCCTGATCGTGAAGAGCTCGTTACCCGAGGGAGTAAGTGTGGATGGGAGACCAGAGGTGATCCTGGTTGGGTTTCCTAGGACGCAGTACATCGCCCCCTTAGTGCCAGTACATCTTGACACGCCTTATTTCAGCGGCACATGTGTGTTGGCAGTAGTCGATACCCTCCCTGTGGCTGGGATTGACGTGGTACTAGCCAACGACTTGGTGACAGATTGGAGCATCAATCTTCCCAAGGTTGCGGACGAGTCTACCGGAACAGCACGGTCTGAGGTAACAGGCAATGGTAATGTCCAGGTAAAGACAGACACGGATTTGAACATGTCTAATTTGTCCTCTCCCCCGCAGATCGACAGTTATTCTAGCAGTGTCTCCTGATTCTCTCAACGAGGAACATGAAGTTAAGAAGGCAGAGGTACCTGAGCAAGAAGAGAGGCCTTGTGTGTGGGCACCCACGGATACCAACGAGTCTGGAGCGAAAGCGGATGTGTGCTTGCGGTATGGCAAGTTACAGCATGTAGTGAACCAGCCAGAGATTCCCCAGACGTCAGAGGTAGGTGCGGTGTGTTCAAAAGGTCTAGTGCCCTCTTCGGTCCGAGCCAGGCGTGTGGATGTGGCCGGCTATGGACATGACTGGCTCGGGAAGCTTATCCCTCAATTGGCCTCATGTTTCTTAGCGATACTTTGTTTGATTCTCTTATGTGTTCTCGTTAGTGCTCTCGGTGAGGACCGGTGGGCGACCCG